TTTAACCAAAACTAATAGTAAAATTTTTAATTCTGAAAATAAGCTACTATTCAAATATCATAGCTAATTATATTCTATTATTATTATATATATATACTAGTAAACTGGTACGTCTTTACGTATGTGCTTAATTCAATACAGTATAATATCTAATATGAGTATCGATCATTATGAATATAATAATCTATTTTTAGATAGGTACATTTTCTTTTGGTGACACTCATATTATTAATTATCAATGCTTTTGATCGAGCTTAGCAAAGTATATCATAGCATACTGACCAAAGTATTTGGATCTAATAAAATCTAATAAAAAAAAACTTATAAAGTACCTGTGGGCGGGTATTTTGTATGGAGATACTTTGTAGTGGAAAAATATCAGGCAAAATACTCGGTATTACAGGTGTCACATACCAATTTCGTACACCCTTATCAATAACATACTCACTCCAAGTAATAAATCTCAATTAATAAATATTTAAAAGTAGGTCCATTTTTGATAGGGTTGTATAAAATTGATATGCGAAACCTGTAATCCTCGGTTAAAAAAAAAATGTTATGGGGTATTTTGGTCAGTACACTACAGTATATGTTGTGTCAGATACCTGATGTTATACCTGCTTAAAATTGCTAAATAATGCGTACAAGTTTTAATTCCAGAAGCTAAATTTAGTCAAGTGCAACTTCAAGCACTGGCATGTCTAGCATTGCATACAATGCCTAGGTATTATGTGTGATAAAAGTAACCAGATATTTTCAATCAGATGGGTAGTGAATAATACTCAGCTCTTAACTAAAGGGTACTTTGTTTAGGTATTTACATCGATCATTTGATCAAGATAATAAATAAATATAGCGATAATATATAAATTCTGTAATAAGGATTTTTGTTTAGCATTCTTCTAATAATATGTAGCTACTATGCACAACTAAGTGCTTGAATTTAAAAAGATGGCCAGCAAAAAATCCTTACTATTGAATACAACCTGAGTTTTGACCGGAATATGCATAAATAAATTACTTATCTACGTACATACGTACGATCAAAAATTTTTTTCTTGTAATTTATCTTTGATCGAACGATAAAGTTTTTTTTTCTTTAGTAATAAATATTTGACTTAATGCCTAAAAAAGGTCTAGGCTTGGTATTAAGAAAGGATATAAGCTAGTTTCAAATGTTATATTTTAACTTTTTGTCCAGAAATTATGTTTGATCAGTTACTGATCATTCTTTTGCATTTTAGGAAAAGAGGTTATCATATTAAAGCTTTTTTAAAAACAACATTCTGTGTATATATACCGTCACTACCTTAAATTTCACAATTTTTGACAACAACCTTAAGATTGGATCCTTTTTGTACCCTTGACATAGCCATGTACAATTGTCCATGAGAAAAAACAGATTGTGGAAGGTACAAATCAACGTGAGGTAATGTTTGTTCTTGAGATTTGTTGATGATCAAAGCAAATGCAGGTCGTATAGAAAACTGTTTTCGTTTTAGGATGAAAGGTAAGCCTGCTTCTTCAGAGGGCAAAAGAGAAATTCTGAGAATAAATACATGCTTCCCTTGATGATCTTCTATTGCTATTTCGGCATCTATTGCTCGTATTTAGAATTGTCGACAGATAAGCCTTGTCCCATTATATAGTCTATTAACCAGGTCTAAATTCCTAAGTAACATGATGGGAGCACTAGGAGACGGAATGGGCTGGGTCAGGCCGGGCTTACATAGACCCAAAACTGAGCCCAAAACATATTTACAAGCCCAAGCCCGACCTATTAAAAAAAAAAGCCCGTAAGTACGGGCC